GTAAGACATTTCTAGAGTAAATGTCTTGCACGTTTTTCTCCCAGTTCTCTTCCCCTTCCTCTCCAAAAAGCAATGATTTATCCTGATCTCATTGTCTTAAGGTGCTGGCAACTCTTTGATACTTTGCCAGTGAGTGCCAGCAAACCTCTTAGCAGTGCAGGAATTTGATCAAACCTGCAGACTCCCATCCAATATTCAGATATCTTCTTTCAAACAGGGGTCACTGGATTGGGTACCCACACAATTTCCTTTCCCTCTTATTGTGACATGAAATAGGAATCTGCACAACTCAATACACCCCATTACAACACCATGCCATCCCCCACATTAGAAGTGGGAGCCGACACTCATCCCACACATTTGACCTAGAGGTGAGAGTGCTCCCAACTGAACCAAGCTGACATCTTTACTGGCTTGCGCACATGGGCAGAATCTGTGCCAACGTTTTGAAAGAGCTACTAACTAGTCCCACTCCCCTGCTTTGCTCCATATAACCCTGCAATTTTTTTCTTTTTAAGTACCTATCAAATTCCCCTTTGAAAGCTATTATTATCATTATCAAATATTATTATTATTGAATCTGCTTCCACCATTTCCACCCTTTCAGGCAGTTCATTTCAGACAGTAACAGGTCTCTGGGTAAAAAAAATTCTCCTCATGTTTTTGACTTTTACAATGGGACGAAGGGGCATCATTTTAGACAAAATAAGTGTTTAGGCAAAGGGTCTGGGGGCCGCCAAAGGCCCATGCAGGATCCAGGGGCAGAGCCCCACTCATGGATTTTTAGACTTTTGCGCCCATTTCTCATATTAGTTTTTAAGCCCTTTTTGATGGTTTTTAATGCTACAGAATAACTTGCATGTAAACTGAGGTAAATAGAATTTTTGCTTTTTAACTATCCTGTGATTTTCTTTCAGTAAACAAGTGCTGCAATCTCATGAAGAGAAATAAGGTGTTATCGTGCATCTGCTTGGTAAATGACAAATAATATGTAATTCGATGGTTAGTGATGAATAAAAAGAGGAAATAGTTACCTGTTAAATAGAACAGCCTACTTTAATGGAAGAGTTGCATTTATCTATTTCCTCAGCAAGCATAATCCTTGGCTAACTACCACATGTCCTCTGGAATGAGCTTGGCAGTCACATCATTCTCAATATAAGAACATAAGAATTAGGAGCAGGAGTAGGCCATTCGGCCCCTCGAGCCTGCCCCGCCATTCGATAAGATCATTGCTGATCTTCTGACCTAACTCTAATTACCTGCCCTATCCCCATATCTCCTAATCCCTCTATTTTTTAAAAATCTCTCTGTCTCAGCCTTGAAGATGTTCAAGGACAGAGCATCTACAGCCTTCTGGGGTAGTGAATTCCATAAATTCTGAGTGAAGAAATGTTTCCTCAACTCTGTTCTAAAAGGCTGACCCTTAATGTTAAGACTGTGATCCCTGGTTATAGATTCTCCTACCGGGGGAAACAGTCCCTCAGTGTCTACTTTATCCAGCCCTTTAAGAATCTTATATGTTTCAATAAGATCTCCCCTAATTCTTCTGTACTCTAGAGAATACAGCACTAGTTTATTCAGCCTATCATCATAGGTCAGTCCCCTCATCCCAGGAACTAACCTAGTGTATCTACGCTGCACCCCCTCTAAGGCAAGTATGTCCTTTTTTAAATAAGGAGACCAAAACTGCACACAATACTCTAGATGCGGTCTCACCAAGGCCCTATACAATTGCAGCAATATGAAGGAGTGCCACAGATAAACATCTGTCTGCTGCCATGGTCAAGAGTAACCAGTTTCCTATTTTCCTCATTGCAGAAAAACCTCTCTCTCATGTGGTAGTGCCAACAGCCAAAGTGAGGGACGACTGAATCAGCTTGTCACAGTAAGGATACAGTCTTGGAGATACTTTATTTTGAAGTTGCTCTAAAGTGAAAGGGCATTCATTTCTGGCAATTAATTACATTTCTGAGAATCGCCTTTCTAATTCTCCATTCATGGCATCTAAGATGGAAAATACAACTGCTGACAACACCATTTTTTTTCAAGTACTTGTGCACCTTCTCCTTATATATTCTCTCTTTGCCCCAGGTGACTGACTTTCGGTTTAATACAATTCCAGAGTTACGAATACAAAGGCAGCAAAATATGTCACTTCATCTTCAACGCTCATGCACGTGCTGCAGTTCGCTGCACAAACGTGGCAATGATGACAGGCAACTGTAGAATTTGTCTCAGTGCTGAGGGGGGAGAAAACCAGAGGGTCCGAGACATGGCGAGTTGGGGGCGGGGCTTAGCCACTCTAAGCCCTATTCAGTGCCTTTGAGCATCCTCCTGATGTGAACATAATAAGAACATAAGAATTAGGAGCAGGAGTAGGCCATTCGGCCCTTTGTGCCTGCTCCGCCATTCAATAAGATCATGGCTGATCTTCTCACCTAACTCTGATTACCTGCCCTATCCCCATATCCCCTAATCCCTCTATTTTTCAAGAATCTATCAGTCTCAGCCTTGAAAATGTTCAAGGACTGAGCATCTACAGCCTTCTGGGGTAGTGAATTCCATAAGTTCACTACCCTCTGAGTGAAGAAAAGGCACTGCAAATGTAATTTGTTGTTATTGTTAGTAAAACTCCAACTAAACTTGCACCCAGAAGATAATGGCAGCCCGGAAGGTGATGGGAACACAATGGCAGTTGTAGTTGAATTTGCTTCCTCTACAGGTGGGGAAGAAATTCGCCCCAGTAGCTACAGAGTCACTGATGCCATCTCATATTTGTAGTGTTGATGTTAAAGGCACGGTAATTGTCTCCAAATGTGAAATATTCCTGAATGAATCCTGAATTTTCCTGGGAATACTGTGAGCACCAAACTCTGCAACACTCCCCACCCCAAATCAACAAAATCTGGGAAAACAAGAATTGTAAAATAAGCACTGTTTTCTTAACCAAACAAGCCATCAATGTTGTTTCAACTTTGCGATTGNAAAAAAGGTGGCCGTGTTTGGTAATGGAGTTGTGTGGATTCCTGACTTTCTTAAATTTATCATTAACTTTGCTCCAGACATTTCCAAGAGATTCAAAACAAGGCACTCGGAGCCAATCTGACTTCTAAAATAACTGAGGTTCAAAGAAAGAGTATTGCAGTGCTAATAAAATGAAATGCATCACATGTTAAATTCAACATCAGATACCACTTTACAGAACAGTAAAATGCAAATGTTGATGTTTGTTTGGTTGTAAATTCCGCTGCCTGAACCTCTTGCTGTGAAGTTATAGGTTACTCCTATATACTGAAAGCTCCTATAATACTGAATGCTTTTACACTGTCTCTGGAGGCAGTTAATGATGCAGAATTGGAGTTTGTTCTTTTTTATATATACGCTTACAAGTTTTCAATACAGACTGAAAGTTTCATGCCTGCCACCAAGAACATATCTGGAATGGAATATACATTCACTCCCTGTTGGGCTGCACCCTGCTTATCTAATTCTGGAGATATTGGGTACAAGTTGGCAAGAGCCAAAGCTTGGTGACCCCAAAGTACGTGTTGGAGCATGCTGGAGTTTAACCAACTAAATCCATGTAGCTTGCCACTGAAAGCATTAATGAACAAACTTTTCACAGCTTATCCAGTTAGGACCAGCCTACCTGTTAGGGCTTTGGCTCGCAGTTTTAACAGCAGCTAGGTGAGAAGATTCCCTGCTCCTCCATTTAAATCATCATGTTGATAAACTGTTACCAGCAGGTTCCTGGAGTACTGGAGACCTGCCGGTCTCAGGAGCCAGATTACCATGGCAAATTGAATCGATTCTGAGATTCCATTGCCAAGCATGTCACCTTGGAAACCACTTATTCACCCAAGAGGACAGTCACGGGTTGTCCTGGCCAACAATCCTCCAGCCATTCACTTAATTGTTGTTTGTGGGACATTATTGTGCACAAATTGGATGCAGCTTTTGCCTACAAACTATGAAGTCACTATGATCTTGTGAAGCACTTTGAGATTTTTTGAATGATGTGATAAGGCGCTATGTCAAATGCAAGAATTTTTTATATTACCCTGAAAATTAACCAAATTGGAAGTAACCCAACACTATTAAAGCCTTAAACGTGACAGCAGAACAGATATTCATATTGTAAAAATAATTAAATACAATAAATATAACTTTTTTTTGGTCAGTTCAGTGTCTGACACATGTGGAAACTCATTACTTTGCAGAAGAGTATCCTAACTGGACAAAGGGCCTCAAGTGCAAGCCACCTGCTCATGAAAATTTTGTGCTTGGACGGAATGTGCACACTCTCCCTGGAGGGACAGAACATGTTTAATTAAATCTGGAAGGTTTTAACAGTAGGTTTGCAAGAGCTTGGGAAACTGAATGTGTGTTGGAAGTACTGCTAGAGCTTAAACAGGTAAAACTGCATAAAGCTTATCATTATGAGTGCTATGTGGCAATAACTTTTTGGCTGGGACCACCTTATCTATTAGCTCTTTGGCTTGCAAGGTTGACTGAAACCATATAAGAAGAATCCCTGTAGCTCAGTGGTTGGAGCATGAGCAAGAGGACCCGGGTTCGATTCCTGGAAGGGCGAAAAGTTTCCTTACTCCACACGCCTCTGTTTAACTAGCAGTAAGTAGGAACCGTTTTTTAGTCGATTGGCGGATCACTTTTCCGGGGATAATGATTCCTTCAAAAAAAAGTTAATAATCAATGGGTCACTCAATCCACGACGGTTTGTGGGACACTGCTGAGTGCAATTGGCTGCTGGGTTTCGCCCACAGAATATACGAGTCAATTCACTTTACTGTACATTTTGTGAAGGGTTTTGAGACGTCTCGAAGACGTGATAAGGCGCTATTATCAAATGCAAGGATCATTGTTATTATTTCTCGAAAGGGGCAGTATTTTTAAAGGATGATATTTTGATTTTTGATGATTCAGGTCATTTTTTAAATAAAGTCCAGGAGGGGATTTT